AAAAAAAAAAAAAAAAAAAAAAAAAAAAAAACCGGTCGAATATGTCTGAATTAATTAGATTAATTACTTGTGATTCAAATTTTCTTAATTTTTTTTTAATAAAAGTGAATATTATTTTTATGATATAATTCGACGAAAACAAAAGTATTTTATTAGGCGAATTGTGACACCAAACTTACACCAACTCTCTAATACTTTGTGCAGTTGACATTTTGTCCACAACTATCTCTTTCTCTAATGATTAGTTGAAAAAGTTGATGAAATTAAGAGAAAAATATTTGAAATAATTTTTTTAAAAAAATTATGTAATATGTCCAGTAATTTGGGGTGGGTGATCATAAATTATTAAATTTGTCTATTTTCCACCAAGAAAAAAAAAAATCATCATTAATTAATTAACTAATTAAACGCATGTGATAATATATGCTCAAAACTGTAAAATTTATGTAACAACTATCAACTATCTAAATGAAAAAAAAAAAAAAAATAATATAAAATAATAAAATGTGTGCATAAATTAATTTATCACCAATTGGAAAAAATTGAATATTTTTAATCAATGTGATATATGCTTAACAAAAGGTGGTCAGCCATAGCGACTCATCTTCCGGGAAGAACCGACAACGAGATAAAGAACTTTTGGAACACACATATGAAGAAGAAGATGATCCAGATGGGCTTTGACCCGATGACCCATCAGCCCAGAACCGACATCTTCTCCAGCCTCGTAGCTCTAGCCAAGCTGATCGAGAATCCAGCCGGCTGCTGGGAGCTGGAGCAAGCCGTACGGCTCCAAACCGAAGCCGCCCACATGGCCCGACTCCAAAGCCTCATCCTCCAAAACCTCCCAAAGTCAAATTACCATTTTGACCCCAAACAACTTCCAAAATATCAACAGCAACAATAGTAATAACTCCACGGCGCAAGACTACGCGCTGATTCAGGGAACGGCGGCACCGGCATTCGCCGGAGATTTATTCCCGGCGTTCTCGCATCTGCCGGATTTAGTGAATGTTCCGATTAGTAGCGGAGTTAGTGAGCAGAGTATTGGGGGTTGCGATTTTGGTGGGGGGCCGTGGATGGGGGGAAATGTGTCTCAATCGCCGCCGTCTTCGGCGGCGCCTGCGCCGGAGATTTCGGTCGGGAAACGGCGGTGGGGGGTGGTGTGGGTTCCCAGATGTGGTCCGACTTGCTGGATGATCCTATTTTTCACGAGATTGGGCTTTAACTAATTAAGTAATATGTTTATTTTAATATATATTATGGGAGATACTACGGTCCCATTATAGAACCATTCAATCGAGGTTTGTAAGCGTTAGATCAACTATCCTCGACTGTTACATGATGTTCTATCGGTTACAAATCCCAACAAAATGATTCCGTAATCGGACCGTAGCATTTCTCAGTCTTATAGGTACACGTGTATATGTCTGGCATGAAGGTTGTATGGAGTTGTACTTTTCGACTTTTGTGAGTTTTTGTGAGATCTTTCACAACGCATACATTGTATAGAACTTCTCTTCATTGCCATGTTTTATAAGCAAAAATGATGTGCCGGAGTAATATATCCACAAATCTTATATATGGAGCTATTTTATGTGGCAAAATTTACTAAATTTTTTTAATTAAACTGCTTAGGGTTGGATTATTATAAATACATTTTATTTTAAAATATTTAGATCATTACATATATTAATATTTTTTTTTCTATAGCAATGTGTATATTATTTTACTTTTCAAATTTTCGCTTTGTCTACACTACAAAAAAATGATGAAATTCCAACGGAAATCTATTTCAAAAGAATTATTCCAACGGTAATTCCTACGGATATTTCAATAATATTATTTCCGTTGGAATTTTTCAATGGATTCCAACAGAATTCCAACGAAAATATTCCGTTGGAATGAGTTTTCCGTTGGATTTTGACGATTCCAACGATGGATTTTCCGACGGGGGTGGAAAAAAAAATTCCAACGGAATTTGTATATTCCAACGGAAATTCCTACGGTAAAAAGACGTTGGAATCATCAAATTCCATCTAAAATTCCAATGAAAAATACATTCCAACGGAATATTTTCGTTGGAGTTTCTGTTGGAACTATTCCAACGGAAGCTATTCTATTGGAATACCGTTGGAATTTCCATTGGAATATATTACCATATGATTTTCCGTTGGAATATAACATTTATTTTGTAGTGCTATATTATCTCTTATGCGTTTTTAAATAAAGACATTATAAAATAAAAGTAATGATGTTGTATATAAATTATTTTTCAGAATTTATAATATTATTGTAAATTCACATGGTTCTTTATTATAAATTGTTATACTTTTATTTTTTTTCTACTTCAATGAAATATATAAACATATATTATTTTATCAAACACCAATATGGACGGGTAATTAATTTCAAAAGTGACGCACACATGATTCTCAATTATCATTAGACGGGCCCCAAGTAGTTAGGAAACACCAAGATTAAGAATTCGTGTATGTCTGGGTTTTCAACAAACGAGACAATGAGTTTTATGGCCTATGAATTATATAGGAGTTGGGAAAATTTTCATTATTTGTCCAATGTGATTGTACATAAAAATTATGATAATCAAGCTTCTAATCATGATGATCATTATATATTAGATTGAAGATGGTGCGGTCTCACAAAGTGAAGTACACCATACGAGTGTGAGCATATTTGTACTTACTAAGATTTCATCCCAAAATTAATTGGTGATTAGAGAAGTAGCCCACTATGCTTATATACTAGGCTCATTTTTCCTATATAATTAATGTCGGACAACTCACAATTGATATTTCAACACGCCCTCTTAATTGCGAATCATTCGTAAGCCCAAGCCGAGAGCAGGCCAGGTAGAAATATAGAATTCAAGCCCAGAGCAGGCAAGGTAGAGAGAGTTATTGCAGGTCCTAGGACATGCCCACTATGATACCATATTAGAACCGAAGGAAGAAGGTGCGGTCCCACTAGGTGAAGTGCACCATACACCTTAGTGAGGTTTCATCCCAAAATCAATTAGTGATGAGAGTAGTCCACTATGCTCATGTACTACGTTCATTTTTCTTATAAAATTAATGTGGTATATATATATATATATATAGGTCGTGTACGACCAAAGAACGATTCAATTAGATCAAGTGAACCGATAGATCGGTTAGACAACAAGGATGTCAGAGGTCGCAGAAACATCAAGTCGACGGTGACCTCATGGGAAAAGCAGCACGACAACATGTCAGCTAGGACTCTTAGCCAGCCTGATGGAGATTCGGTCAGAAGGCTTACATGTCGATGTACGACCTAAATGATAAACTTGCTCGTTGAAGGTCAGAGTGACATAACGCATTATAAGCGTTGTTTCAACCCCTTAAGGAGAGACTCCTAGAAGGCGAGATCAACATTCAAATATTGTTGATTCCGATAACGCTTAAAAGTGTTATCTGTAGTTCAAATATTGTTGATTCCGATAACGCTTAAAAGTGTTATCTGTAGCCGAAAAAAAAAGCGTTATTTGAAACTTTTTTTTTTTTTGGCGTAGTACATAGTGTATCACATAACTCTTTTGTACTTTCTCAATTATCTTGGCATGTTTGTCGCATAGTTTATCGAATAATTATTCACACTATATCAATTGTATTTGTTTGTCTGTTGCGTAGCTTTTTGCAACAAGATCTTTTGCGGTTTGTTGCTTAGTATATCACATAACTATCTCGCACTTTATCAATTATCTTCCACTATCTCGCATATTTGTTCGCATAAATATTTCTTTTATTTTATCAATCTTCTTCGTATGTCTATTGTATATCTTTTCGCATTATGATTTCGCACTTTATCAATTATTTTGCATGTTTGTCGCATAACTATTTCGCACTTTATCAATTATCTTATGTATGTCATATAATTTTCCACATCAATTATCTTTGTTGTCAATTGCATAATTAATTTGCACTTTTAAATTATGTAGCATATTTATTGTATAGTTTATCGCAAAACTATTTTGCATTTATCAACTATCTTCGATGTGTCATTCGCATAATTTATTGCATAATTATTTGTCACTTTATCAACTATACATTCGGTTGTTCGACGTATAGTGTATCGAATATTTTTTTTTTTACTTTATCAATTATCTTTGTAGTATAGTCACATTTTATCAATTATCTTCGTTGTTCATAATTTATCACATAATTATTTCGAAGTTTATCAATTGTGTTCGCTTATATAAATTATCTTTGTTGTGCATCATTTATCTCATAATTGTTTACATCTTATCAATTATGTTAGCCAATATTATAAATTATCTTTGTTGTGCATCATTCTTATCAATTATGATAGCCTATATAATTTATCAATTATGTTGGCCTATATTTATTTCGAAGTTTATCAATTGTGTTCGCTTATATAAATTATCTTTGTTGTGCATCATTTATCTCATAATTGTTTACACCTTATCAATTATGTTAGCCTATATTATAAATTATCTTTGTTGTGCATCATTCTTATCAATTATGATAGCCTATATAATCTATCAATTATGTTGGCCTATATAATTTATCGCATAACTATTCTGCAGTTTATGAGAATATTTTATCAGTTAGCCTATAGTTTGTCAGAACATTTTATCAGTTAGCCTCAGAATATTTTGGCCCTTTCAGCTTGATGACGAGTTAATTAACCATATTTTGTATGTAAAGATGCTTTTGTATGGTGTGACAAACTTTGTCAATATCTTAGCCTCTTTTGGTTGTGGGCTTTGAGTTTGAATATCCCTGTAAACCCAGTGTCGGTCTTACCATTGAACTTTGTATTTTGGCCCTTTTAGTTTAGTGACAAGCCAATTTACCGCATCGGATAAAATATGTGTTTGTCAGATTCATAAGAAATTCTCCACTTTTCCAACGCTCTATTTTCATTCGCCATCAAGAAGTGAAATCGATACTCACACGTGTGTTTGTCCATCAACAATGTCGTTAACTCTATTTAAAAAGTCTTCATACTACAATCTCTCCAAACGCATAAAGCTCATCTTTGCCTGTCTATTTTATAAACATTCTCATCCCAAAATCCGTTATGCACAATTAAAACTTTTTCACACATCTGTAAAACAAAGATGCAAAAGTATTTTACTGACAAACAATTTCCAATAATTATTTGAGAATTAAGTAATCAATGTTTATAATAAAACAAATAAAATTTGAACCAGAAATAATTTTTGGAATCACATACATGGTTTATACGATTAGAAAACTGTTTTTGGGTCGGGTTGGGTACGGGTTTTGGTAAACCCGAACCCGACCCGCATATAATTTACCCTACCCAAACCCGACCCGTTACCCGACTAGTGATCTTCGGGTTCGGGTTGGGTTTTACCCGACGGGTTAGTGGATTTTCGTTGGGGAAACGGGTAACCCGAGTCTTAAATTTAGGTTTTTCCCGACCCATCTCATTTCTTATGAAAAAATAAAATAAAATAATTTCACAATTAATTATAATGTAAGAAATAATTTATTAACTAAGTTTGACAATAAAAAACAATAAACTATGTATTATTTTTGAAATAAATAATAAGATATGATTATTTATCTTTTATAGTTTATTTAATAATTTAACATTTAAACTTAAATATTTATTTTTTATTATACAATTAACAAAAAATGATAATAAAATTATAAAAAAATAAAATATATTTAACCCTTAATCAAAATTATAATAAATAATCTAATTTTAAAAATAACACATGACTACTTTTATATTTATTATAAGTTATAAATATATATATATATATATACATATATATATATATATATGTATATGTATATGTATGTATATATGATTCAATGGTTGCGGGTAAACGGGTAGGGTAATCGGGTCGGGTAATGGGTTAGCCTA